TACTTCTGCTATATATTTAGCGATTCTTGACAACATTCAAAGAAGAATCAGCAACATTGTAGGTCCTGACCTGGCATCTTGGCCTTAATCAATTTTCCACCATCATAGCATAGATTCTTTGCCTTTCTTTATAAATATTTTCATGGTAATTGTTGTCATGAGATTTCCTTGTTGATACCACAACTTCAGAACTTTAACCACATTACTAGATTGGCAGCTAGGTCTCATAATTTTATTGTTGAAATTGCTAATTTTAACAATAAGTTCTAAGGTAATATTTTCTTCTCTCATATTTCTTGCTTCTGGAAGTATCTTTCAGCTTTCCTGTCAACTACAATCTTCTAAAATTTAAAAGACAACATCAATTGTTATCTTTTGTCTCTTTGAGTCCTGATCATTGATTGTCTTATTGCATCTAAATGGCTCTTATTGCCATAATTGGGGGGAAATGATCTTTGTAAAAATTCTCTGCTGCATTTGAGAATTCTGTAGGGGAAACAGAAATTTCTTACATGAAGATGAGTCTTTGACTCTAACTTTTTGAGGTCTGATCTCTTACATATATACACACACTCTCTCTCTCTTTCTGGATAGTTTCGGTCAGTTCTGATATTTTGGAACTGCCTGTGTGACAAAACTAGATCAGCAGGGAAGAGCAACAAAAGGCCAGTGCAAAGTTGCTCATATGAACAGCCTTATTCTACTTATTTGTTAAACTGTGAATCATGGACTTGATCACTTGCTGAGTTTCTATCCCTCATCATGTTGGGTAGATTCCAATATTTCAGATATGCCTGTGAGACAAAATAGATCAGCAGGGAAGAGCTGCAAATGGCTAGTGCAAAGTTGCTCATATGAATAATAATAAAAAAAAAAAAAAAGAGAGAGAGAGAGACGTGGTTCCGTTAAGAATTTTTCACAATGGCAGGTTCAGAGTATGGGAGAAACAATGAAGTTTTAAGAAGTGTTAAAACCATAAAGAAATTTCTGATAACAAAAAGAACAAACAGATGATTTTGTGAGAGACAATGAGGAAAGAAGGTTTAGAGAATGTAGCACACACAGCACATTGAAAGTAAAAGAAAGAACTGAAATTTTTGGTACATATAATGACAAAAAAGCTTGGAGGATTAAGCAAATACATTGAAGGCAAAAGAAACACTTGAAATTTTTAATAAACATAATGAGGAAAGAAAGCTTGGAAAATGTAATGCACATAGCACTTATTGAATGTTGAGAAAGCAGGATACACTAAGTAACCTACTTGACAGGTTTGAGCAAATGGATAGCATAAGAAGTACTGCAGAGATGAAGAGGTGTCATAATGGTGCAAGAATATCTTAGAATAATAAGAGTTAGGAAGTTGTGGAGTGCTATGATCACTTATGTTCTGAAGGTATATAGCACATAGAGAGAGACAGATGTTATATTTTGCACGTTATTAAATGCCACTTAAGTTTTGAAGCTGCATGATATAATCTGAATGTTCAGACATATGTAACATTTCACATCTTCAGGGGAAAGCATCCTTGCTTTTTCTCTTTTTTTCGTTGCAGTTTATTTTCCTTTTAATCATTTCTGTTCCTTAACTTGCCAAATGAAACAAACAAAATAATGTGGCATTCCATTCTAGGGGTGGTTGATGCTTATAACAGTTTGCTTCTTTTATGGATTTGGGTTGAGGCTTGAAGGGAGAGATAAAATGGCAAGAAACATAAGGAATCCTTGGAATCACAGATAAAGTTGTTTTTGTTTTTGGTTTTTTTTTATACTTTTGCCTCTTTTCAAACTGCTCTCTCTCTTTTTAATGGGGTTTTCTTATCAGGTAAGTATTAAAAAAAAACACAAGCTCATTATCTCTTTCTCTGCATTCACATAGGAAAAGGAATAATTTATTTGTTTAATATACTTTGGTGATCTTGCTTAAAAAAAAGTAAGCAGCAAAAGATAGGTAAAAGAAAGGAAATAAATATGGAAATGTATTTATGAGTAAATTTCCTGTTTTTCTTCAGTTTTTCTGAAAAATGCTGAGTTTTGTGTTAGCCATTTTCTGAATTCAGTGTTGTTATTTTTGTAATTTATATTCAATATGTTTGATTCCATTTTTAAAAACTGGTTTAAAGGATTCTCTACAGAAAAATGCCAAATAATAGCAGAATACTTCCAAGAATTTTTTAAAAGCATCATTAACATCACAATTATTGAGATTATTTCTCTAATTCTTTGTGCTGTATTTGTTATCTCTTGCTTGCATCCATTTTTAGGTGAAGATTCAATATGGAATTATATGTAAAATTTTCTAAAAAGTTGTTCTTGCTTTTTCTGTTTACCAGAATATTTTGGTCTTCCTTAAATGTACAATCTCTTTAGAACATATGTTCTGTTATTTTGGAAAATTGTCATTATAATTCCAAGAGTTATTCAACCTAGAGAAAACACTTTATATGGCTTTTTCTGTTTGCCATGATATTTTGATTTTCCCTAGATACACAGTCTCTTTTGGAAGAAACATTCTCTAATTTTGGAGAAGAGCCATTATCATTCTAAGACTTCTTCAAATTATTGAACCCATTTTTTATATTGGTTTTTCTTCTTACCACAATCTCTTTGGAAGATAATGTCAACAATTAAGTATTCTTATCATAAATATTTAGTATTCAGATGAACAAATGTACTTGTAGCATCGCAATTAATGGTGTAAGATTTATTAATAAACTTAAAAAAACTTTGAGATGAATGCATTCATTTTTAAAGGCTTTATTTTATTGGCAAAGTTAAAGGTATTTTTCACCTGGGTCCCTAAAAGTATATTATCTAGTTCCACGGAATCAATTTCCTTTGGCATTGGACCCAGATAGGTGGTGTCAGAATATCTTCGTTTTTTGAGCCTACCACAATATTTTGGTCTTCCTTCGTTTTACAGGGCTTTTTTAAATAATTTCTATAATTAAGGAATCTTATAATAAATATGTATAAAGAAAAAGGCAATAGGTAAACATTTAGTCAAAAAACGAAATGAATTTACTGACACAAAGTAGTTATAAACAACAAACAAGCTGTTATTAGCAACTAGAAGAATTTAGAAACGCTATTATATGGTCAACTGAAAAATGACGTCAATTACTTTTTTTTGAAAAGAAAATTTTTTCACATCTAGAAATATTGTTTGTATTGTTGCGTTTATGGATTCAACTGTTTTCTTTTGATTTCTTGATATATTTGTAAATAAATATTTACTATTGGGGTTGCAGCTGCAGCCTAGCAGTTGGTGCAAGAAGTGGGGGGGGAGTCATGTGTCAAGTTCAAATACCAGCAGAGGCCAGTGTGTTCCTTTTTCAACAAATACCTTTGAATAGAATTAATAGCAGGGCGCATTGGCCTCTCTAGCATTGATTGGCAACCAGGCTAAGAGAAGGAAAACTCTGATTTTAAAACCATTTAGGTATGGGGTTATTGATGGTATACTCAGTATACCAGTATAAAATCAGTATACTCCTTTGTGCAAAGTACTATATTGGATAATCATGGTGGAAGCCGTTTCTTTTAACTTACAAGTGTGCTACTTCAGATAGGAAATCTTATGTACGTTTAATAAATGTGAAAGTAAATTGTTATGGCATGTAGAAAATGATTTAGAAGATAATAAAAGTATTCAGTATCAAATAAGAACCATTTTGTAGGGCGGGGTATTGAAGGGAAAAAAATGGAATCATTTCTAGCATTTGTATTTGATGCACAAGAAGAAAAATATTTTAACACAGTTTGGCTTTCATTGCTCAATAAGGAAACAGTATGGAAATATTTGCTTATAAAAGAAGCAATTGAAAACAGCTTCACCTTTATTTATTTAGTTATATATATATATATATATATATATATATATATATATAAGAATGGAATGACAGACTTTTATGATTTAAATGTTATTTTTAGTGGATAACCATTATCTAGGTTGGTATACAAAATTAAATACTGTTTAATAAATAAAGGGAGCATCTATTCAAATACAAGTACCCACTAAAAATAATACTTAAAAAAAAAATACACACATATTATTAAATAATAAAAATTTGTGTTCTAGATAAGTACAACAAGAATAGAAGCCACAATTGGTATAACCTCCGCATGCAGGTAAGAACCAATTGAGTACAAATTGTTGGGGTTTATATGGAACCAAATGGTACAGTCTTATTTTCATTAGTAGGTTTGACAAATCTCCTGCTGCCTGCCAGAATCTACTGAGATGGAGGAAGGGAATAGTTAACTAGTGCACAAAGTTCAAAGCACAGCGAAGGTAGTTTTTATTCATGAAAACCTTATCTACCTCCCACTAAAGTTTCATATAGTAAGCTTTGTCTTTTTTGACATTGGGCACTTGGTGGCAATTATTAAAATTTGTGCTCCTAGTAAAATATTTAAGAATGAATCGTATTCTCTTTGGAGTTCTTCTGACTCTGGAATTGTTTACCTTTGTGAGGGATAGCGTACTTTCTATTTATTAATTGAATAAATAATATATATATATATATATATATATATATATATATAAAGCTATGCTGCATGCTTTTCTGAAAATAGAGTAAATTGATAAGTGTTGCTGCTAATGATTTTAAAACTTTTTTGCTCCCGGATGACTTGAACCCCCCCAACAAAAAAAAAGAATATAACACCTGAAGAAGCTATGGAAGAATATAAATGAAACAAAGAGTTTACTTTTCTTAACCCTTGGAATGATAATGATTCTTTTCAAAATTGTACATACATGTTTGATAAGTTTATTTCCTTGCACTTGTATACTAATTTCTTCCATGTCAATGTTCTGTTTTGAATGACATGTAAAGTGTAGTGAAACTATGTTTTTTGCTTTCTCTTTTCAGTGGAATATTGCAGACTATTTCTATCAGAACCGTGTGAAAATACAGCAAGAACTTGATGAGGATTCTGATCAGTCAACAGAGCAGAATGGCTCAAATGGTATGCCTCCTTTTGACAGTCTGTGGATGTGCTTGTTCTCCAAGCTTGGGGAACTCTGTGTGGATCAGCGTCCTGCAACAAGGAAAAGTGCTGGCCAGACCCTCTTCTCTACCCTCTCAGCTCATGGAAGCTTGCTTCAGAAAGATACCTGGAAGAAAGTTCTCTGGCAGGTAAGTGCATCTATAGTGTTGATCCCTGCTATAATCTTGCAAAATGCTGGTTTTGCATGTGGTGTCTTATGCAAAAGAAATATGTTAACTGTTATCTGACATAACATTATTATTTATGACACTTTCATATAACATTTGCTACTAACAAACAAATGAATAAAAGTGATATGCAATGAAATATCATATTCAACAATTTTTAAAAGAAGAAATAACATATATTTCTATCCGTCAAATGACTTTTATTACAGTATATTGTTAGAATTGTTTTATTATTAGTTATTGTTATTAGTCTCTTATTGTGCCTAATAAAATCTATGGTAAGAAGGAATCTTCTATCTGTCACAGTGACTTTTATTACAGTATATTGTTAGAATTGTTTTATTTTTAGTTATTGGTCTCTTATTGTGCCCAATAAAATCTGTGGTAAGAAGGAATTTTCTATTCGACACAATGACTTTTATTACAGTATATTGTTAGAATTGTTCTATTTTATTATTAGTTATTGTTATTAGTCTCTTATTGTGCCTAATATGATCTGCAGTAAGAACAAATCTTCTATCCTTCACAATGACTTTTATTACAGTATATTAGAATTGTTCTACTTTACTATTAATTGTTGTTATTAGTCTCTTATTGTGCCTAATAAGATCTATGGTAAGAAGGAATCTTCTATCTGTCACAGTGACTTTTATTACAGTATATTGTTAGAATTGTTTTATTTTATTATTAGTTATTCTTGCTAACCTTTTAATGTGCCTAATTTATAAATCAATCTTTATCAAAGCTTCCATTTTGGGATTCTTAGAAAATGTTCCCCAAGGACAAAAGGAAATTCCGGGAATTAATATTTTCAAGAATGGATCAATAAACACAAAGCCTCACAAATTATTAGATAATTTTTTTTTTTTTTTTCAAAAGTTAAAGAATTTTTTTAGCTGCACAAACTTCTTCAATTTTTCTCATTTGTTTCTCAAAACCTTTGAGCTTCAATTTTTCCATTAAATTCTTTTGTGTGCAGAATTTTTGCTAATTTCAGTGAAACATCTCAGTGATGACTCTTTATAATATTTAAAAATCCCCTGAAATCTGGTCTTTCTTCTCTTCTGTAATGTGCTGCTAAATTCTAATACCAGCAAATATCAGTCTTCTTTTGCATTGGTACCTGCCTTGGGCTTCCACACATGCCCCAAACACTTTAAGTATTTGTCTGTTTGAGGTCTAAATCTCCCTAAACTGTTTACATTAATCTCTCGTTTTCCCTACAGGTCACTACCCCATTTCATTGCACACTCTGTCCTCCTTTATCTGCTCTCAAATTCCTACTGACAGCAACGTATTTACAAACTGCATCTTTATTGGACAGTTTCATTGTGGTAATTGATTCTGCATCTGCTTGACATCATGGCATTCTCCTTTGCAATGACTTTGTCGATGTTTCGGATCTGGATAATGAATTGTTCTGATCTTTGACCTGGTGGTTCAGGAATTCTCAGCTCTGAAAGCATTTTGATCTGACTGTACACTTATCAGCTTATCTTTTGGATTTGAGATATATGTCACCTGGAAATCAATTTTTTGTCCTTTCTTTTATTTTGTTAAGGAAATTAAAATATAATTCCATTACCCCACCTGTACATTTAAACTTACAGCACCTGTTATTCCTGGGCTGCCTAAAAAAAGTCATACTGATACATTTGCAAGTAAAATGTTGGACAAAATATCCTGGAAGAAAAGTCATAAAGCAATTTTTTTTTTTTTTTTTCAGTTTTTTTTATTAATCATTTCACCCCAAGCAAGGCAGCAACACCCCTAAGATGCAGGGGATTACTGAGTGTGAAAGAATATATGAAAAAGAAAATATTATTTATTAGCAAGAACAATAAAAGGCAAAAGATAATAATTGACATTGCATTTAAATTTTTGAAGATCAAACTCAGCTGGAAAGCAAGAAGTCGGAAGAAAGTGAGAAGTGCAAGAGAAGAAACTATCAGCCTAGAACTTACAGATACATTTAGCTATTTTGACTGTAAAGTGATGAGATCTTGCTGCCAGTCTCATTTTCATTTGATTATAGGATGGAATGAGGAGGCACGGTGGAGTAATTGATAGCAGCTCAGATTGAGGAATCCGAAAGCAGAGTTTGAATTCCAGTCGAATCCATTACATTCACTTACGTGCTAATACCCTTGAGAATGTATCTGTCTATATTTCTGAGATGAGGTGTTATGTACATTATTTACAATATTCAGACTATTGTCCTCATCTTTCTCACCATATTTATTACAATGTTTCGGCCGTTGTACGCTCATGCCTTCTTCAGGTGGTTGGAATGTCAAAGGACACATGGTACAGTGGATAAAAGCATTAGTTAAATCCAGTGACAGGACCCAAAGAGGGTGAGTTCAATACCTGGTTAAGTCAGTGGAGAACTTTCAGAAGGAAATTAACAGGAGATAACTGATAATTGACATCCATTAAACATGGCATGTGGAACTAGAACAGTCTACCCCAGTGAGCGAAATAAAGGGTTAAGTCTGACATTCCAACTACCTGAAGAATGCTGGAGCATACAATGCCCTTGGGAAAGGTATGAATCCTCTTCTACTCCCTCCCAGCTATGGATAAATAGCAGGACAGACTGGGTTCTATCGCCTTGGATGGCAACTGGTCTACTGCAGAAAGAAATGAAAAACTATTACAGGAAAAAGTCTGTCTTGTCAGTCATGTATTGAAAGATACATGATCACCTAAGTGTGTATCACACATAGCACATAACTGACTGAGTCTGTGATCAAATCCTCTTAGGTGAGGTTTGATTGGATGTCTTACTACAAGAGCAGGTATGTTGTAGTACCTGATGAAGGTGGAAAATATGCTGGTTGAAATGTTGCATTGGAAAGCAAAGCAGTTGAATGAATATGTAATATTATTTGAAGAATAATTTAGACTAGCATTCTCCTTTATATTTTGTTTATTACATATCATTCTGTCAGCTTTCTCACCTTTTATAGTTTGAAGTTCTCAGATCAAGTCTATTAATATCTAGATTTGATAATAAAAACATAAATGCAGCCAAAAATTCATTGCTCTATGCTAAATAAAAAATTTTTGATTATTATTTGAAACAATTTTTTTTTTAGGTGCCATGTCCTTTCAGGACATAGGTGATCATAACGTTCCACAGAATTTCTTTTCTTTATCATCTGTGAATTGCTGTTACTTCTGAAGAAAGATAAGGTTTTCCTATGGCCTTCTCCAAGAACGAATGAGGTTCCTCTGAAAGTCACAAAGTCCAGTGGATGCACACACAGAGCTGCAGAAAGTTCTCATTATTTCCTTTCCACCTATGCTGACTGGATGCGATACATGATCAGTTTAATGCAGGGAGTTCAAGGGTATGCACCTGGGCCAGGTCCAAAAATATCACTGCACTTTTAACTGTTGGTTGCACTGTCATCAGTATTACAACCAACCCTTTCTCTTTAACACAGTGATAGCAGTACTGACACGGGCTGCTATTTCCTGGCATTAATTTTTTAATTGTGCTCTGCCTAAAGACAGAGACACAGCTGAGAGATGATAGTGTAGCCTCACAAGTTACACTCACATGGTTCTCCCTCTGCCAGGAAATGTCAATTGTTTTTATAGCCGTTTGTTGGACCTTTTACAGTTTGCTATTTATGGAGCATGGGAATGGATTAGCATATTTTTCTATGGAATCCATTCCACTCACTGAGTGAAACTTGAATCATGATTGATTAAGAGAAGCTAATTTACATGAACTCGCTGACCTCATTCAGTGCTGAAATATTTTTCTTTCTTCTTTTTTCTGTAAAAAACAGCATGTGACATGAAAATGTTTTGGCCTTTGAGGTTTGTCATCATTTTCTTTTGTACAGAGTAGACCACCTCCTAGACTGGCTGCCATGCAAGGCCTTTGAACTCAGTCTATCTTGGGGTGAAGAAAAGATAGATTGATTCCTTTCTCAACAACATTAGGGCAAAATGTAACTGTTATACTGGAACACACCTATTCTATAGTTAATAGACTCTCCCACCTATAATAAGTAGTAGTAGCAGTCGCTCAGAGAGTTGGTCAGTCAGTCGATGTGAGACACTAAGAGTATCAGTGACCACCACTAGATTTCTCTGCATCATTACTAATTATATCAAGTCCCTAACGTTTTGTATGTCGAACCTTTTTAGGACCGACTTAGTGAAATAGAAGCCTCCACTGTGAAACTACTCTACAACAGTAACACATCAAACTTGGGCTGAATCTGGACTCCTCTCTCTGATTCAACTTTCCCTGACAATTACTATTATATTACTTGCACATAAAATAAATCTAAAATAAAAATTAAAATTCGTGATTTTGCTTCCTGTGTTGGTTCCATTACGAGATTTTATTTGTACTTTCATCATCTTATCACCTGCAAATCTCATATGTTTGTGATTAAGCTCTAAATTGGGCTTCAGCCATACATGTGCCAAAATTAAACATTTGCTTTTTCTTATGAAGACATTTACTTGTGAGATTTGTTTATAGTTGCTTCCACTTGGGAATTTGTGTATATATTTTACTGCTTTATCTATAGTCAGAAGAAAAGTGGGCGAGGAAAATAACTTTTGGCTTTGATGTTTACAACCCTGATTCCTTTCTTTTATTGCTTTTCTTAATTTACCTTTCTGCTGACTTTTGGCCATTATGGTAGGATTTTTATAACTGATTTCTTTTGTTTTGCATTTATTTTATTTTTGTGACTTCCTGTTGAAAGGTTCTAAAGAAGAAAGGCATTTATATAAGGAATCACTACGAAAACGTTTGGGGAATTTTTGTCATTTGTTGATAAAGCTTTTAAAGGAGTGATTAATTTTTCCATTTACTTTGGTTCCGAAAAAAATGACCATGCAAACATTTTTCTAAAAAAAATAATTAGAATAATTTCAGTCAGTTTTCCTATTTGAATTTTCTGATGAATCTTAATTATTAAGTTAAT